TTCATGCTCTGTCTCTCTCTGTCCCAAAAATAAATAAACGTTGAAAAAAAAAAATTAAAAAAAAAAAAAAAATACAACATGTCAAGAAATGAACAATGATTAAGGTGCTTAGAGAGTAAAGTACCCTTTTTATGTAAGATTTCAATGGGACAAATCCAAATCATGAAGATATAAACTGGCATGGATCATTCAGAAAATTACATATGGTTAATAATAAAATACATCAATGCAGGTGAACGTAATAAGCCCAACTGACCAAATGTCCAGTGGTATGTTATTCTCGTGTAAACTTCAATAGGTGTCCATTTTCGTTCTAAACTGTGTCTTTAATTTAGATAATTTAGCTTGGTCACCAAAGTAGTAGACCACCAGACCAAAACACTAGGTCAAGGCTAAACAACTTGGATACTTATATAATATTGAAATAATCTAGTATTAGTAGTTTAAAAAACACACCAATACATTTTTACCAGGATGAATATTAGAAAAACTACTTGCAGTAGTACTATATTGGGAGGATCCAGAAGTAAAATGATGAGTAAAGACAGAAAAGAGGTGACTTACAGAGTGGGAGAAAATATATGCTGTGTGTATGCAGCTACAGAAATACACACTTGTATATTGTCTTATTAGTTTATGGGACATACACATATATTAATATACAAAACATATACATATTTACACACATATATGTACATTAGCATACTTACATACTGTGTGTATAGCAATGACCTTCAGTCACAGCAATTTCAGTCCTTTTATGTATATAATAGAAATGGCTACATATCTAATAGCATGTATTTAACAGTAGTATTATTGAATGTATTCCTAAATTTGCAAACCACCAAATATTCCATAAATAATAAGACATTAAGAAATCATACTGAGGTTGTATTATTAAGAATTGTAATTAATACAACAGAATACAGCGAAAACTTATACAATATGAATGAATCTCTCAAATATAACAATGAACAAGGAAGCCAACATGAGAGTATATAAAATAACAGCAGTTAATTAAAAGTATAAAAATAAAGCTTTATTTTTATGTATTAAAAAAAAGAATTTTGAAATAAAGACCATATTTTTGTGTATACACACTATACTATACAAAAAAAAAAAAAAAAAAAAAAAAGGCTAGTGGGTGACCAACTAGACGTAGGAGTGACAGAAGAGTCTTAAGCGATTTCCAAACTTCAAGCATGGAAGATAAGACGTTGCAATAGTCCATAAGATGACAAACAGTCGTAAACTGGGGACATGATGATACTATACATAATCTTTCAGTGATTAGGTACAGACAATTAACAGAAAACACAGGAGCCTGGAGCTCAAAACAAAAGTCTGTCCAAAGACAAAATTTCTAGGAACATTAACATCGACAGAGTAGGAGGTGTAGAAAAAATTATAAAAGATAAAATGAAGTTTGCTAGAAATAAAGGACAACCAAAAAAGGGAATTTACCATTTTGGAAACATTAGACTACAGAATATTCAAATGATATTTCTGGTAAGCTGTATGAAACAAGAGAAGACTTATATACGTGAGAGACCTGTAAAGAAAGATCACACAACAGAAACAATACTATTATGAAATGTGATACTTGTGAAGCATTTGCCAGAAACAAATAGCTTTCACATTTCGTACCATATGAAAGTATAAAGTTCAAAAAATGCTTATTATTGGGGTTGAAAAGATACAACAGTTTGCTGAAAAGTCCTGAATTAAAATATAGGAGATACAAATTTTCCTCCTGACTACAATATTTTGCATATTTCTTCTCCTTCCTAACCATCAGTCTCTTCATATATGAAGGGCCCAGAAGTAAAAGGAAGGGAGGAGAAGGTAATGTGGGACAACATAACCTCAGGTTCCATATCGTCCTCATAGTTTAAAAACATGTTAGAATATCATAGATTAAGTCCTTACAAACTGGGCACTATTGTGACTCCTCCTCAGTCGCATGGTCAGCTTGGTGCAGGGCTCTAGGCTGTGATTCAAGTCCTCTTTGGGCAATGTTGACATCACTTTCCCATCCTCTCTTGGTTCCTCCTTCATCAAAACAGTTGGGGGGCATATGACCCCTTCTTTATCTAGGGCAGTCAGAAACAAATCTGAAAACAAACAAATCTATTCTCCTATCAAAATCAACAAACTATCTCTCCCTCACATTGTCTCTTAGCCTATTAGGCTTTACCTTTCTTCCGTAAAGTCTTATCTTTGGCCATGAGTCCCAACCCCATCATCTTGGGACCAGCCCCATAGATCTGCAGCTTCTTTAGCTCTGGATTCTTCTCAATATCTTCCTCTGTGGGTTCTGGCTATTAACAGAAAGTTCAAAGAAGGAAGTGAGGTATACATATACAAATACATATTTTAGGCTCCAAAACATTCCAAAAAAGGCCACATAGATTGAATCCATTCAACTGCTTCCACTTATTTTTAACTCTTTATTACTGATGCATTTTTACTTGTGGGTAGCATATAGCCAGGCAGGAGTAAGTGAATAGACAAATTTCAGTGGTAATTCATTTTCTCAATTTGTTTCATGCAACAAATGAAATGACAGAATACTCCTGTGTTTTCAAGGACAGTTAAGCTTAAGTATCTAAAACGTATAATTTATACTAAAGAATTCAATAAATGTAAATAAATTTCTTTTGACAGCACAATTTAAGCTACAAATGGGAAGACAGAAGAACATCATTTCAGTCTGAACTCAGCCTTTTAACTTTCTTCCCACACTATATTCAGGTATCTTGGGAAACTGTAAATCCATTATGTGTCATAAATACACGTATTATAATATGCCATTTTCTAGCACGTATCTCTTTTTAGTGGACACCATGAGATATATTTTATCTGTGTTTCTGTCCACTTTCATTATAATTTTAAAGTATTATTGTACTTCCCCTTTCTATTTAAAGCCTGAGGATTGTTTCTGTATGTTTTATTCTAGATCTATATACAAATACATGTAATAACATATTTTCTGGCTTGTTCTATTCCCCAAATAACTTAAGTATGCAATATATACTGTATGACAATACATGATAAACAAAGGATCAACTAAAGAGACAATGGTGGTAGGAAAAATAATTTCTCAAAGATCAGATGGAGAAGACTGAGAGAAACAGGACTCTGGAGTTCAAAATGGAGGTCTATCCGGGGTGCCTGGGTGGCGCAGTCGGTTAAGCGTCCGACTTCAGCCAGGTCACGATCTCGCACTCCGTGAGTTCGAGCCCCGCGTCAGGCTCTGGGTTGATGGCTCAGAGCCTGGAGCCTGTTTCCGATTCTGTGTCTTCCTCTCTCTCTGCCCCTCCCCCGTTCATGCTCTGTCTCTCTCTGTCCCAAAAATAAATAAACGTTGAAAAAAAATTTTTTTTTTAAATTAAAAAAAAACAAAATGGAGGTCTATCCAAGAATTAAATTTCTGGGACTATGAACACATACATCCCTTCTATAGCTTATTATTTGATTATAACTATTACAGAAATAACTTAAGCCACTCTTATTATATCCTTGGTGCTGTTTCTCATTTTTTGGTGTTATAAATAATGATATAATTAGTTGTATTAATCACATTTTTAATGTTTTATAGTTTATATTTTGACATCCTTTGGAGAATACTGCTGGCTGAGAAGACTTGCTCCTCTCGGGGTCAGCTAATTCCTAAAGACTCACTTGTAGGTGAGCTCACCTTTCATGTGCAACCCAAGCAATCCCAACTCTATACTAGCAACCACCACCGTATCTAACCCTCATACACTAAGACATTATTTTCCCTTCCTTAAATCAACACTTGCCCAGGTCTGAAACAAATTCAGAAAGTCACTATGCTCCGTGCCATCAACAATAGCCAAATTTTGGAAAGAGACCAAATGTTCACCAACTGATGAATGTATAAAAAAGATGTGGTATATACATATGGAATGGAATATCACTCAACAATGAAAACGAATAAAATCTTGCGGTCTGTAACAAGATGGGTGGAACTAGATGTATTATACTAAGCAAAATAAGTCGGTCATAGAAAGACGAATATCCTACAACTTCACTCACATGTGGAATTTAAATTCAAAAAGGATGAATATAAGGGAAGGGAAGGAAAAATAACATAAAAAAGGGAGGGAGACAAACCATAAGACTCTTAAATACAGAGAAGCAAACTTGAGGGTTGCTTGAGGTGAGGTAGGTGGGCAGATGGGCTAAATTCACATCCTTAATGATGTGCATTAAGGAGGGCACTTGTTGGGATGAACACTAGGTGTCACATGCAACAGATAATCACTGGGTTCTATTCCTGAAACTAATAGTATGCTATGCTATATGGTAACTAACTTGAATTAAAAAAAGGAAGAAAGAAACAAAGAAGAAAAGAGAAAAGAAAAGAGAAAAAAAGAAAGGAAAAGAGAAAAAAGAAGAGAAAAGAAAGAGAAA